CCACGAAGGGCGCGAACGAGCGGGGGCCACGAAGGGCAGATAATGCGGGGCCACAAAGGGCAACGACGGGGCCACTAAGGGTAGCAACGGGGCCACGTAGGACAGCGAGGGGGCCACAAAGGGCGACAGCGGGGCCACAAAGGGCATGCATATGGGGTCACGACGGACGCGAACCAGCGGGGGCCACGAAGGGCATACGTGTATGAGGCCACAGAGGATAAGGAATGGGCCACTGAGGGCAGCAACGAGGCCACGAAGGGCAGCGAGGGGCCCACGAAGGGCGACAGCGGGGCCACGAAGCGCATGCATATGGAGCCACGACGGGCGCGAACGAGCGGGGGCCACGAAGGGCAGGCATATATGTTGCAACGAAGGGCAGCGAGGGGGCCACGAAGGGCTGCAACGGGGCCACGAACTGCAGCGAGGGGGCAACGAAGGACTGCAACGGGGCCACGAAGGGCAGCGAGGGGGCCACGAAGGGCTGCAACGGGGCCACGAAGGGTAGCGAGGGGGCCACGAAGGACTGCAACGGGGCCACGAACTGCAGCGAGGGGGCAACGAAGGACTGCAACGGGGCCACGAAGGGCAGCGAGGGGGCCACGAAGGGCTGCAACGGGGCCACGAAGGGCAGCGAGGGGGCCACGAAGGACTGCAACGGGTCCACGAAGGGCAGCAAGGGGGCCGCGAAGAGCTGCAACGGGGCCACGAAGGGCAGGGAGATCCCAATTCCTAAGTGAGCTGTGAGGGAGTCTTAAGCATGAGCGCGACTTCTGGGTGCCTGAGTGTCGGGAGCGCGGCGCTTCAGGAAATTGGGGGAAATTCCAACGCAAGAGCGCGATTCATGAGTAAATTGTAAGCCAATCTCCAGCGAGAGCGCGACTTCAGAGCGCCGAGAGAGCGACTCCTGGATAAGTGTAAGGAAGTCTCAAGCGAGAGTGCGAGTCCTGAGTAGAATGCGAGGAAACATCAAGTGGGAGCGGGGGTCCTGGCCAAATTGCGAGGAAGTCCCAAGAGGGAGCCGTTGTTGTTGTAATCCCGGGGGCCAAGGGCGCAGGCTGAGCCTAGTGGCTTCCTCTGATAAAGAACAGGGTGCGAGCCCCGGGGGGAACACTTCAACTGAAAAACCCCATTGTCACCAGAGGGGGGATCAACCATAATTATTCTACATTAGTGAGAGTTCCATAATCATGTTAAGATTGTTCACTCCTACCTGCTGGCGTGCCATTCAACCCGTATATCCCAAACCATCGGTACCCGCCCTCTTCGTCTTCGATCGTACCCCCCTGGGGGTATACCTTCCTTACCTGCCGCGTGTAATTGGTGCAGCCCCTGAAACAAGGGAAGAGAGGACGGATGGACGGGGGAGGCGGAAGGCTGGAGCACGGGATTAGCAGGAGGGGGGCTAGGAGCAGAAAACACATGGCAGAACCAGACGGGTGCATCAGGCGGGTAGACCCTGATGGACGGGTTGGAAAGGCGGGCCCAAGCGGCCAGGTCGAAAAGGCGTGCTCCTGAAGCGTGAGTACTGCATGAATCGCGAGGAGAGCTCGAGCGATAGCGCAATTCCCGAATATATTATGAGAAAGGCCACAGCGAGAGCGTGATTCCTGAGTGTCGATGGCGCGGCGGCTGACTGAATTGCGAGGAAGACCCACGCGAGAGCGCGATTCCTGAATACCTTGTGAGGAAGTCCCGCGCGGGAGCGCTATCTTAAAGTAAGTTGTGAGCAAGTATCAGGCGGGAGCCGTTGTTGTAGTAGCCGGGGGCCCAACAACACAGTTTCGTGACACCAAGCTTGCCCTGATAAAAAATAGGGTGTGAGCCACGAGGGGGGAATTTCAATAGAAAAATACAATGGTTACTGGAAGGGGGGATCAACTATTTTTGGCAATCAGAATTCAACAATCATTGTAAGACTCTGTGCTCTTATACGCGTGCGTGTCAACCAACAAATGCTTCCCAAACCATGGATACCCGCCCCCTTCGTCTTCGATCGCACCCCTTTAGGGGGGATATATATATATATACATATCTTCCCCTCCACGTGTAACTGGCGCAGGTAGCTTTCAGCGGAAGAGGTTCGCTTTCGCCCTGCAGATCAAAAAAAGTGTAACTGGCGCAGCCTTAAACAGAAGGGGGCCACTGAGGGCTGCAAAGGGGCCAGGAAGGGCAGCGAGAGAGCCACGAAGAGCTACATCGGGGCCACGAAGGTCAGCGAGGGGGCTACGAAAGGCGACCGCGGGGCCACGAACGGCATCGAAGGGCTCAAATAGCGGAGCCACAAAAAGCATCGAGGAGGCCACGAAGGCAGCGGCGAGGCCTTCAAATTCAACTGCGGTATCGCGATTGGAAACGAGGGGCATCGGTACGAGCGAAAGGCAGCGAGGGGCGACTGCGGACCATACCGGGCGGGTCAGGCGGGCGGACACTGACGGGCGGGTCGAGCGAGCGGGTCGCGAGTGCGTGAATCCTGCATAAGTTCGCCAGAAAGTCTCTGGCGAGGGCGCTATTCCCGAGCAAACTATGATGAAGTCCTCGGCGAGAACGAAAGTCCTGAACGGCGAGAGCGCGGCGTGATAGAAAATTGTAAGGACGTCTGTAGCGAGAGCATGATTCTTGAGCAAACTGCTAGAAAGTTTCAAGCAGAAGTGGGGGGGGGGGGCAATAAATTGAGGAAATATCGGGCGGGAGCCGCTGTTGTTGTAGTTCGGGGGCCAGGGGCCCAATTTGAGCCATAGAGCTCAACCGCAACATCATCAGCACCATCATCAGCATCATCATCACCAGCATCAGCAACATCGTCACCATCATCAACCATAACAACAACAACGACCACCACAACAACAACAACAACAACAACAACAACAACAACAACAACAACACCAACAACAACAACAACAACAACAACAACAACAGCAACCACAACAACAACTGCTACAGCAACAGCAAAGGCAACATCATCAGCCATCATCCTCACCACCAACAACAACAGCAACAACAACCACGTCAACAACAACAATAACAAGGACGACAACCATAACCACAACAACAGCAACAATAACAACAACCACAATGACAAAACCAACAACAACCACAACAATAACAACAATATCAACACCAACAACAACAACAACAACAACGACAACAGCAACAATAACAACATCACCAACAACAACAGCAGCAGCATTATCACTATCATCATAATCAGCACCAGCATTGGCATCATGAACATCATCATTAGCAGCATCATTATCATCATCGCCATCGCATTCTCAATCATCTTCAGTATCGTCAGAACCTTCAGCATCGTCATCGGCATCGCCATCCTCATCACCATTATCATCGGCATCAGCATCAGCAGCATCATCCGCATCTGCATCGTTATCATCATCATCATCCTCGTCATCAGCATCACCACCACATCGTCGTCGTCGGAATCGTTACCCTCACTACCACCACCATCATCAGCAGCATCACTATCCGCATCGTCATCACTCTCCTCCTCGACCCTCGTCTCGTCGTTCTCCCCCTGAGCGTGGTCGTGCTACCTCCTCACACATCCCTCCAGCGCTTGCACGAATAGAGCAGTCCGTTTTCAAGACGGGGAGCTCGAGATGGCAGGCCAATGAGACTCTCATGTTTGTTTCGGGGAGGGGGGCTTCCAGAGAGAAAAGGGATGCATGCAGCGACGGAATCTAGATTGGGGGTATTTGGACGGGAGGGGGTGTTGCAGCATCGCGTACGCACCCTGGGCTCACAGTTACCCTCATCCTGCTCCTCATCATCCACCTTGTGAGCGGGCTCTGGCGGCTCGCAAGGTGTCTGTTCAAGATGGTCACTTCTTGTGCGTGTCCCGCAAGTGCAGGGTGCCAATTTGCCAGTCCGTCGTGCAGAACTTTGCGATGTATGCCCCTCACAATGGGAGACCCTGTACATCCACGCCGAGGTACATGCCTGGTCAGAACAGGACGATCCAAATCTCTAATCCTGTTGCCAGCATGGCGGCATCGTTCGTTTCGGAGTGCTGGCTCCAGGTTGAACCAGTCAAGCTATCGCGTGGGCGCATTGGGTGGAATAACTGAAATAAGGTGGACCGTGGACGTGGCATAGCCTTCTCCCTCTTCCGCTTCGTCGCGGAGCCCGTGGTGATCCATGGAGAGAATGGCACAGTGCATGGTGTGTATCAGCAGCTTTGTTGTATAGCTCGATGTCTGATACTTGATACTTATAGTCCTCCACCTCATAGGCCTCCTCCTCCTCGGCAGCAGCATCATCATCATCAGCAGCAGCATCCTCGTCATCCTCATCGTCATCATCACCATCATGATCATAACCAGCAGCATCATCTGCATCATCATCATCATCATCATCATCATCATCATAATAATAATCATCATCAGCATCATCGTCAGCATCATATGCATCCTCATCATCAGCAGCAGCATAATCAGCATCATCATAATCGTCGTCAGCATCACCATCAGAATTACATCATCATCAGCATCATCATCATCGTCTTCATCATTATCATCAGCAGCAGCAGCATTGTCATCAGCATCATCATCAGCAGCCTCATCATCGTCATCATCATCAGCATCATCATTACCATCAGCATCATCATCATCAGCAGCAGCAGCATCATCGGTATCATCATCAGCATCATCAGCATCATCAGCAGCACGCCATCAGCATCAGCATCAGCATCAGCATCAGCATCAGCATCATCAGCAGCAGCATCATCATCGACACATCATCATCACCATCACCATCACCGTCACCATCGCCACCCTCGGCGTCCCACCCCTCCTCCTCCTCCTCCTCCTCCTCCTCCTCCTCCTCATCATCATCCTCATCCTCAGCCTCAGCCTCATCCTCATCCGCATCCTCATCCTCATCCTCATCCTCCCTTCCCCCCTCCCCGCCCCCACCCCCTGCTCCTCGTTTTCCTCCTTCTCCTCCTCTGCCTCGCCCTGCCCCATCTACATGCTCCCCTCGGCCGC